TGCAAGATTGTCTGTTGCGATTATTGAATTTTACATGTCTGTTGCTGTGTTTCAAGGTAGAATGTACACTGCATGTTTTATTTGCCTATTCATCCTGTCCCTTTAATTTTTTCTTGCAATGTTCATAATATCTGTATGCTGGACATATTTTAATACTTAGTAATAGTTAGCACTAAGCATGGACATAGCTACAGCTTTGATTGTAGCTCAAAACGGGTGTGAACAGACTTTAATTTCATGTGGGAAAAGGAATGGTTGGCCTGTTTTTAATGTGAATTGTATAGCAGTTTTTAATGGGAATCAAATTTATTGAGATATATAATCGAACATGTTTTCTTGTTTAAGTAATAAAACATCTAGACAGTTGGGAAAAGATTAAGTGAATTACAGCTCTAACCTGTCATTGGGTCAGAGAAGCATTCTGCCTGACCCCTCCTTTAATCTAATAGCTCTTCAAATAAGCAATCCCATTATTAATCTCAGAATTTCTCTCTGATATACAAAGTTCCCTAAAATGTGTTTACATTTTTCTTTATTTTAACCTTAAAGGTATACTGTAAGCATCAAAACAGCTGGGCATAATGAAGTGATAGATCATGCCCCTGCAGTCTCACTTCTAAATTCTCTTCCTTTCACGCATTAACATTTTTTTATACAACCCTCCTCTGGCCCTCTACACACTTCCAGAAAGAGCTTATATTTTTTAGCTAATCTTATTGCACCATGTGTTTAATTCAGAATCCAAATCTCCTGCTCCTTTAATAGCATGCAAGAGACTGCAACAGTCTCCTGTGTGTGACTAAAGTTAAATTAATATAGCACTCTGTGCTGTATAATCTGAAAAAAATGAAACAAAATTTTATCTAGACTGTGTGAATCACAGCCAGTGAGGCCTGGCTATGGCTGCATAAATAAAGTTATTTAACTCCTAAATGGCAGAGAATTGAACAATGAAACTGCAAAAACATTATCTATAGAATATGAAACTGCTTCATCAAGCTAAAGATGTCTAAAAATGTTTTAAAACTTTTAGCTCAACCAATAACTAACTTTTAGTTAGTCGTTTGGTAGTGCTAAATGTCAGGTAGTGAAAGTTTCTCTTTAAGTGACATTTTTTTTTTATCCATTAGAATAATATCCATTGTAAATCAAACATTATTAGAGAAAACAGTAATTGATCATATATAACTATTTTCTCTCTTGTTATGTGTGCATATTAATGTAGATTGTGTGCCTAAACATGTATTTTTTTATTTTATTTTTTATATTCTTTATTTTTGCAGTGGAAATAAACATACAGATATGTCTGTGATGCCACGATAGCAATGACAGACCATTCCAAATTTACATTATCATGACATTAGATTAAATTGCACGTTTTTTATATTAATAACAGATAAATGCTATTTTTGTCCACAGATTGGTAGGTAGAAGCTTAATAATGGTGACTGGCTAGCTGGATCAATAGTACCAGGTGTAAAATGCGGTTAAGGCTATGCAGTCTGAAAAATTGCAAGAGTGTCATTTTAACAAATTAGTTTTATGTTGCTTGAGGTGCAGGAACAGGTGCGTTAGTATAGATGTGTGTATATTTTCGCTTTGTAAACATGTTCAATAAAAGCAGGCTAAGCATCCCTTCTGAGGTGCTGCTGTGATGGTAGTCTAGTGATGTGTACAGGATTGTGGGGACTTTTGTTTGTGATTCCTCGTGCTCGTCAGGTCTCATATGCGTGGGGACTAAGGGTTTGGTTTGGCGTGGGAGTATGCTTGGAGTAGTCGCTCAGGGCCGGACTGGCCCACCGGGATACCGGGAAATTTCCCGGTGGGCCGCGGCACCTGGGGGCCGGCCGTGTTCCTGGGCCGGCCCTTTAAATACTGTAGCCGCCTGAGCGCTCTGTGAAGAGCGGTCAGGCGGCTGCAGCTTCTCCCCTCC